AAATAAGGCCACCCATCGCGTCTGCTCCCTGAGGTCTTTCAACACGGAGTTGAACTTCTGCGTTAGTACCCAGACTCTGTGGTTTGCGTGCCGGCCAGAGAAGGCCAGGTACGATAGCATGTCTCTCTTTTTTGTTATCTCACGATTAGAGCTGCAGTCGTCTAGTATGAACAACGTCGACTCCCCTTTAAATTTCTCGTGAAGAGCTTTCAACCAGTCCTGCAGACGTGTTCCCGGGTCGACTTTGTGTACGTCCGGGTCCGTCATCACCCAAGGTCTTTCCGTGAACGTTTTATTCATGCTCAGAGTAGGGCACATGATAACGATGTTGTCAAACACATCCTTGTAGTAACCCTCCAACATATCCAGCACGAAAACGGTCTTCCCACAACCAGTCTGCCCACACACTATGGCGCAGTGTGGGTCGTGGGGCAAATCAATAGATGGCTTGCACGAATCTCCCATTGTCTATATTAAGTTGCGCGTCCATAATAACGTACAGATATAATTTCAACTTGCCAGCGGTTTGAGCCTTCTTGGTAATCTGGATAGTTATCCCCTCACTGCCGTTGTCTATGCGGCGACCGCTACCGTGCAGTTTATCGTCATCCGTGGATCGCATGTCCAACCACAGCGCGTACTTGGTGGTCAGGTATTCACCGATCTGCACGGAGGATAGGTCCAGGTCCTTGGTTATGTATGGGTGTTGTTTGATAGCCGGTAGCTTTTTTATCTCATCCCACTGCTGGTATGCCCTCATACCATGACTGAACAGCTGGTTGGGCACGCCTCTATGGTCACTTCCACTTTTTTCAATCTCGGGTTGAAAAACTTCGCTGTCCCTCCGAACGCTCGTAATCCTCCACTGGGACGACCAGGATACCTTTCATCGATCGGCCGCACGCGTTCAGGTTGATATTCCACACAGTGTCGCCTCTTATCTCGCCACGACTGATCTATGCCTCAGTATGCGATCGTACAGGATGGCCATCTTCCCCGAAGTACTGGCTTCGAACCTGCCTTGCCAGCTCCGGGCTAGTGACCATGTCGAACTCCAGAGAGATGTTGTCAATGGTGTAACTGGCCTCATCACCGTTCGGCGTACACACTACTTTGCTGTAGTCGTTAAACGTTAGCTCGTATTCAAGCCTATCACCCAGCGCGGCCTGGTAAAACGGCGCGTGTCCCGTGAGCAACTCGAAGTCGAGCGGCACGCAGAACCTGTTCCCGTACGCTTGAGCGATGGCCTTTTCACCATCCGTGATCTTGTCTAGCTGGTCTTGCGTGAAGCCATACCCCACGCGCAACCGCGTCGATTTGCTGATACCTTGGTACACGTCATTGACGCGTTCTCCCTCGCTTTTCCAGAGGTCCCCATAGCAGTGAAACACGTCGCTGTCGTCGATGCTCAGCACCTCGTTACCGCTGATCTTGATGATGACTCGACCTACGTTCCGCACTAGCTCGCGTTTGTCGTTGTCGGAGGTCAGCGTGAGGTTGAACGCCAGTCGAACCGTGCCTGGTACAATGAGGTCATTCTCGCCAAGGTTTGGGAATCTAACCAGCAGCGTTTGGTTCTGGTCTATCTTGCTGGTATCTTGTTGGTGATGGTCACGGACTGGCGCACGGCTCTGACACCTAGTGGCTCTCTTGATCTTCTGAAAGGATCTAGTTTCCTACCATACATTGTTATATAAATGAAATATATAAGTTTTAATGCTAAATAATGGCTGAGTACATACCTATGGATGATATGTGGGATGATAGTGCCCAGGCATTCGACGAAGAGGAAACCCCATTCACGCAAGGCAACGAACTCGTGAAGCAGGCCGTCAACGGGTTTTACGATGGGTTAAAAGGGGATAAAAATTACGTAGAGCCGTGGGGGCGAGACTATTCCAAGTTTTTTGTTGATGACAATGGCACGCTGCGACTGAGGGGTCGCCCGGAGATCGATCTCATGAATAAGCGCACTAGAGAACCGCTTGCCTTATCAACACTCGGCAGTCGCCATGGGAGTGACTTTATCCGCGATGAACTAGGCTTCATAGATTACGGGCGCGACGCCTAAAGCCCTTCCCTTCAAGATCTGCAAGACGTCAGGAAGCCACATCAGATCAAGACATGACTGATAACATTGAAAAGCTGTTGGCTACATACCATAACAAACCCTTACCCGGTTCGAATTTACCGTTCGAAGTACGGGCTGGACAAGGCCATGCAAACTATTCGCGGACATCTCGTGAACAACACAGCCAAACTGGACGCCGATAGACTAATTACACGCGCCCATGAAAAGGTCAAACTCGGTGAAACGGAGGACGAGTCTCTGAAAGCCACAATCGAGGAACGAATCACGTAATTTGGAAGAGGAAAGGAAGACCGGCTGGAAACGGCATCCTCCTTCGAGACCAGCTTCGATCCCAGGTCAGCCGCGGCGCTGAAACCGTTGATCGAGTCCTCTACCAAGACACCACGTTAGCTGACAGGATTCAGATCCTGTTCCGGGAGCAAAGGATCACCATCGCTAGCATTCTGACTGCATTGGGGTTCATCATATCAACCCAGGTCGCGTGTCATTGGCGCCTGCCGGGCGGCAGTGGCACACCAGTCGGGCGTACCCCCACTGGTGGGTGGGCGCCAAAGCCTGGATAAAAAATCGGGAGGCCCTGGCTAAACTTCGCTGGTAAGGCCGCCCGAAGCCCTGCCCGCATCCTGGGTAGCATCGTCCTCGTGGCTGCTGAGCTCTGGCTAAAACTGCTACGTGGCTCAGTCAAAACCTGTGGGCAGCCATCGTCGCCGTGGCGGGTTTGGTGTACGTAGCGGCTAAGGAATTTTTAACCAAATAAGCCCCAAAGCTACCCCACCAACCACCAGGGCTGTTTTACGATCGATGTGCTGCTGTGCAGGCTGTGGGGGTGATCCCACAGGGGGTGTTGGATGAACCCTAGTCTCCGGGGGTGGTGCCACTATACCCGTTTCACCGGTCGTGGGTGGTGGGACGTGGGGGACGTTGACATCAAAATTGACTCCCAACTTTTGGTCCGCCGTGGCTATGACTATTTCGTTGTTGTATCCCACCACTTTTTTTACTCTCAGTTGCATATCGCTGGGAGCCATGTACAGCCCCACGTCGAAGACGTAGTCGACTTTCGACCTGGCATATTCCAACACGTCTTGGTAGCGTTTGATGGCACTCGGGAGATCAACTGGAGCATTGATAGCATCCTCAACGTTGACAACGAACTGTTTCTGAGCGTCGTAAGCAGTCCCCTTACCGAGGATGTTGGAACGCTTAGCGTCTGCGCACCCAACATTGCCCACACGTACGTTCGAATCGGTGTTAGATATAAATCATAATCCCGTCAATATAGGATACCTCAGCTTAACGCTTCACATAAAAAAGGCGTGTACGTGCGGCAGCGTCTGCTAGACGACTTTATAGAGCCCAAATGGTTGATCAACATGACCCTCACCGCACCTTATATCTCGTTAAACAAAGATAGAGAGGTGTCCGAAATTAGGAACAACGGCCTCTTGTTTGGGGTTTTCGTTCCGAACCATAGGATAAGTGCTCAGCTAATAGAGGATTACATGAATAACATGTTAGTTCTTTCAGGCCGGGAGGGTGAGTTAAGGTTTGACGCCCCCGATACCCAATTGGTTGTGAGGCCAGGGTCCACACTCGCCATAGAAGTCTACCTCGGATCGGTTCGTAATAATACAGAACGGCAACTTTTACCTGGGGTGACAATACGCTGGGGCATCATGGGCAGGCACCAACGTTGCCGTATCATCATACAACTGGACCTCGGAACGGGTTCTATAGTCCCCTCAGTAAGATGCCCCGATGATGTTAGTGTAGACGCAGAGTTACCTATTAGCCTCTCACCTATTTCCCTGTACGATGATCTACACCTTATAAGCCTGAAATATACTTTACTTCGTAGAGGAAGTAGCGAAGACCCTGGAAACTGTAGACGGGTTCCGCTTGAGACAGTTATGTGATGTAAAACACCAATTAGAACAAGACCGTGACACGCGGAAAGCACTATGTAAGAAGTACCATAGAGCTTTCAATATCGTGGACGGGGCTGACACTGCCCTTATGGCAACCAGCATGGGACTAGGGGCGGCAGGTGTTGGGTTGTTAGCTACCATCGTGGCTACCCCCGTAGTGCTAGGCATTGAAATAACAGCTGGGGTGGCAGGGGTGTTAGGGTTGGCGCTTAAGTTTGCATCACGTAGACTGCATCGTAAGGCATTGAAACACGATGAGATCAGGGTTCTGGCCGAAGCAAAGCTGAACACAGTAAGTGAGCGTATTTCCACTGCACTCACTGACAGTAAGATCTCAGAGGAGGAGTTTCGTTCAGTCCTCTCTGAACTCACAAAATATAACAAAATGAAACAAGAGATTCGATCCAAGTCTCGTAAGTCTGCTATCAGCGAGGATGAGAAAAAAAAGTACATAGAACAGGGAGTACAAAAAGCCCGGCAAGCCTTTATTACGAACACCAAAGAGATCATAGGCGATTCACATTAAACTGTTTCATCGAGGTAAACGTGACATAGCGGCACGTTAGACGCAGCCCAGATGATACAATCCCAGGATAGACCCGTTAAACCAACATACTTCAGCCAAGTCCCCGGTAGCTCAGTCGGTTAAGTGGTGCGGCTGTGAGGTATACATGTGGAGTTCGTATCCCGCTGACGTCTCAAACTTTTTTATAGTAGGGGAATGGGGCGAGATCTAAGGGCCTGAACAAAAGCCTTATTTGGGAAATAAGGCTTTGCAGAGGCTTTTGTTGGACCTGGTCCAAAACCCCCATTCCCTATACTACTGCTCCGGTCAGACTATTTCAGAAGTAAATCATGCACAGTTGTGTATTGTATTGGTTAGCCAAAGAGCAGGTTGATAGCTGAGGCAACAATTACAAATATGTATGTATAATTCTGGTATTCATTTACATGCAATTAAAGTCACAATTTTTCCACAGGATGTTTTGACGATGAAGATATAGTTCATGTTGAGGGGGATGTTGACCCAGCCAGGGATCTTGAAATCATTCATGATGAGTTAAGATTGAAAGACCTTGAATTCCTCAAAAAACAGATGGAACCTCTTGAGAAGATGGTTGGACGCGGAGGAGACAAAGGAAAGAAGGCAGAGTTTGTAAGTGGATGTTCCAATTTCAAAATTACATTGTTTCATAAGAAGTGTAAGTAAATGTTTAAGAAGCATTCATTTATTGTCTGTTTGTCTGTTGCCTTACCTGTCTTTCTGTCTACCCTTGACTTTGTCTCAGAGCTTAAAGTAATAATATATTTTGATGAAAACTATGTTGAATTGTGAAAAATGTATATGAATCTTCCAAGACACCACAAGGCATTCAGATTTAGTCATGCCAGTAACACATACCAAGATGAAAAAATAGCTAGTCCAATAGTCCAAGCTCAAATTGAAAATCATTTGTGGAACTTCTCTTTTGAAACTTCAAAGCCCAGAGAGCTTGAACCAAACTATTTTATTAAAAGACTGTCTTTGTTGACAGTGAACAAATATGACAGCTGTAATCTAGATTATGCATTGAAACTCCCTGAAAGGTACAATGATGCTGTCAACGGGAGTTTTGTAAATAAGGTATTGTTTTTGGTCCACATATGACAATTAACAGTGGTACATGTAGTTGTAAAGAAAAGGAGTGAATTAAACTACTAAACTTGGAATAATACAGTTTGCTAACAGGGAATTAGATCTGTTTTCACAGAAGAAATGACAGTGTGAGAAGTTGACAATTTGTGCAAGACCTGTTTTTATCATCTCAGATGTATTAGTCAAATTCGTCCTTTGATATCACTTGATGCAGCCAAGACATTAGTCAAGTGTTTGGTACTCTCGAGGTTGGACAATGGGAACAGTTTGCTTCTAGGCATCAGCAAAGAATCACTGAGGAGGCTTCAAAAAGTCCAAAATGTAGCGGCAAGAATCGTTACACGTGCCCCAAAGTACTCTCAAGTTTAAAGTACTCTGTATCACATACAAGAGTCTAAAAGGCATGTCACCAGAATATCTAAGTGAACTGCTAACCCCCTCCAAACCATCCAGACAACTGTGATCGGAAAGAAAATTCTTATTGAAAACTCCTTATAGACTGGCCTCTTATGGAAAAATTTCTTTCAGTGTTTGTGCTCCATCGCTTTGGAATGAACTGAACCACATCTTAAAACGCATCTCTTTTCACGGCTCTGTTAACCCTACTCAAACATTATTCTTTTGTAGCGCTTTGATCACCCACTTAGTGGTTGCATTTAGTGATATATACATTTTCAGTGTTATTATTATTACCGGTAGTATTATTATTAATTAATCATTGAATAAGAATAACAGTATTGTGAGTGAAAGAAAGTTAAGGCATAAAAAGTAAAGAGAATTGATTATCAGGTAATGGCTACTTCAATGTAATGATCATTCATTTTCTTAGATAATTGTGTTTTTACCATGTGATGCCTATGCATGTCAGCTTTCAACATTATGGACACATTTTCATGAGCATTTTGTTCCTATGTAACTACTGAGCTACTGGGACTTTGCCTTTGTTATATCCTGATAACTTTAAAAAAATTCCTTTTCAGGATTGTTATCTGAAAGTTAGAACTCTGCTGGAAGGCAAAAAATGGGTCCGTCAAGGCAGCTGGGATGCAAAGGAGGTGAGAACAACTTAAATGATGCCCAAGATGGCATGAATGACTATATATGTTTGGATACATTTAAAAAAAGGTAGCATTTGATGGTAATGTTCTCACCAGAGGTATGATCTTGATCTCACCTGAGATATGATAACAAAACAGACATTCTCATGGCTTGTTCACCAGCCAACAGAGCTACACTGATTGTGAATTGACTTAAAATAGGCGAATCTCAAATCTCCGTGAGCCCTACAGTAAAAAACCTGGATGTCTTGATAGACTCTACACTTTCCATGGAGCCACACGTCAGTAACTTTTGTAAAATCTGCTATCATCATCAAGGAATATCTCCAGGATACGCCACCTATTAACAACTGACACAACACACCGTCTTGTAAGATCTATGGTGTTGTCCCGCTTGGCCTACTGCAACAATTTGCTTGGAACATGAACAAGGACCTGCACTCCAGGTTGCAAAATGTCCAGAATGCAGCTGCCATATTGATCTGCCGAACCACCAAACACAGCCACATCTCCCCAATCCTCATGCGTCTGCACTGTTTACCACTCCCAGCTAGGATAGAATACAACATCCTTAGCATGACTTGCAGATGTCTTAACATGGCAGCTCCATCCTATCTCTCTAGTCTTATCAGAGAGTACGCTCCAACAAGGACTCTGAGATCAGCCAATCAGTCGCTGCTCATCGTCCTGAATTCACGACTGAAGACATACAGACACAGACGTTTCTTCTATGTGTCAGCTGTCCTCTGGAACAATTTTTTGTACAAGAAGTTGATCCTTGCACCCCCAACATCCCTTTCTTGCTCCCTTCTGCTCTCTGTATATTATATCATTAGCAGAGCAGTATGATGACTCGAGGTTTGTCAAACACCTCAAACCTCAAACACCATGTGAATAATTTGAATTGTGTATTTAAACATGTGATAGGGCGGAAGTTTTTAGGATCAGTCAGGTCTCCTTTCTTGGGGAGGAGTATTTTGCGACCTTTACAGAACCACAGAGGAACATCACCTGTGTCCACGAGAGTATTGAAGCAGTGAAGTAATGGTGTTTGGACACAGGGGAACAGGTTCCAGTACAGGTTTTGAATGCCATCAGGCCTGGAGCTGTATTAGATTTGGACTTTTTGATAACACTTCTCAGGCAATCTGGTGAGATGTAGCAGACAAACGACCTAGTTACTTTCTCATGCATTGCATGGTGATAATCACGGACCCATGGTGCCTCCAGGGTACAGTCGCCGGGTATAGACCACAACTGTTTCCTGAACCTTTCATTGGCATCCATGGGGGGCAGCTTATCATGCTCACCATCACCGTTTGTTTTTATGTTGCCTGTAGAAGTGTTTTTCATTATTTCTAAAAAGTTTATTCTGTTTGATGAATATATTTTTCTTTTCCCATATTTACTTTCTTTCAGTGCAAACCTTTATTTTGGCCTTAAGGGAATCGACAATTTGGAGAAGTATTTTTTCTTTTGTTGTCTTATACTGTAAGTTTAATTTTCTCCAAATTGACTTTTGTCGTTTAGACATGGGACTCCCTGATGATCTTAACTTCAGGCAAAGCTCTATCCAGGAAATGTATTTTCTAGTTTCTGTTAATTTTACTTGAAACTGGTTTTTCTTTGGTGTATTGTTCTTAGTATTGAATGTTTTCTTTGGAAACTGTGTGAAGTTCCTCCAAGGTTCGAGCGGCAGCATAGACACAACAATTGCACTTCATGTAACGAACAGTCCGCAGAAAGTTTCATAGAAATAATATCATTTAATAAATTAATTTCATTTTTGGGAAAAGATTCATTTGTTTGTTTAATTGGCCTCTGTTCTTCTAAAGGTAGGTCAGATATTTCATCATAAATAGAATGAAACAAAATATACACAGGATTTTCGGAAAGATCTGCAACTGAGGAAGAGGAAGAGAAAGAGTGAGGTTCCGAAATTTCGGGGCCAATTGGCTCTACGCCGGAAGAGGAGAGAGGTTCACGTGGATGTCCATCAGAAGTTTTGGGTCTGCTGCCACTTGAGCATTCTGCTCATGCAAAGGTTCCTGATGGGCACCAGTTGTGGGTTGAACTGGCGCACGGGGCATGAGATTTTTAAGCCGCCGGAATTGATTTCGGAGATTTTGCTCCATCAGGAAAGCATACATGGGCATGGCATTGTCTCAATGCAGCTTGAGCGACTTGCCGTTTATGCGTGGATTATCAGGCCATCCTGTCGCTCTCGCACACTCTAGTAGTGTGGTTTTGAGATGGTTTGACCAAGATAGTCTTGATCGGGTGCTGTGCCTTCCCCTGGGGCAAGTCCCATCTCCCGTGTGGTTTGTCTTATTACTGGAGGAAGGCTGACTGGGCTGCGGAAGTGAATTTAAACTTTCCTCTTGGCTGTCTGTAACCCAGTAAAAAAACAGTTTCGGGGGGTCAGCCTTAACTGGGTGATGGTTCAGGGAATAAAATTCCCCTATCTAGGCCTACCATGGAGAGGCGTACATCAGCAGGCCCTTATTATGTTTTACAGAATTAAGATGAAAATGCGGCAGAGAGGGTTCGGGTGGTCCTGACACAGTCAGGCTGGTAAGGCTCATCATCAGCTCAGGGCCCTCGCCCCTTCTACACACAGCCCAGACAGCGAATGGGACTTCTCCCAGGAAACACTGCCTAGTCGAACCCACTAAGAACTTTACGGAGAATATGAAGGCTCCCCAACACTGCACCCAGAGGGTCAGAAGGGCTGTGCTGCCGATGGAAAACCCGGGCACTCTCCTGATCTGCGCCAAGAGATCAGGAGGTACCAAACCAAGGGCACCGAGAACAATGGGGAGCCTGACGACTGTACTTGGGATGAAAGCAAGACATTTCAAAGGCGAGGTCCGCATATTTATCATGCTTTTCCTGAATCTTGCCAATCACATTGCTGTCAAAAGGGAGAGAACATTCAATGATATAAATAAATTCATTGGCTTTATCAAAAAGGACAAGATCAGGTTTGTTGGCTGGAATTCTCCTGAGGCTGTATATGGGAACCCTTATTATCCCCCGCAACGCGTTTTGCGGGGGGTATTAAAATGGACTCCGTCCGTCCACATTTGTCTTTTCCGGAGCAGAACTCTAAAAGCATTCAATATTTCTTCACCAAACTTGGCACATACATTGATCTGGTGGTGTACTGGTGCCTTTTAGTAGTTTTGGAATTCTGAATAAAATATTTTTGGCGTTTCCATGGCAACAAGTTTGACTTAGACTGAAATTGGTGGTTGTGCTCTTTTCTGGAGCAGAACTCTAAAACCGTTCACTATTTCTTCACCAAACTTGGCACATAGATTGGTATGGCGGTGTACTGGTGCCTTTTGGTAGTTTTGGAATTCTGAATAAAATATTTTTGTCATTTCCATGGCAACAAGTTTGACTGAGACTGAAATTGGTGATAGTGCTCCTTTCAATGCTCTCCTTCCACTTTTCTATATACACACCTAAATATTTGACATAATCATAACTCGTAGACATAATCATGAAGAGTATTTTGCCATCATAATTAAAACAGAGGGAAAACAAATTCAGATACAGTGGTAGGGAGACTTTGTGTCTCTTATGACTAATGTTAATTTTAAGGAGAGTTTGTGGTGAAGTGTTCACACATGATTTCGTCATAATAAATGTAAAGAATATCGAATGAAATGTTGAATAAAAACGAAAAACTGGACTACTAATGCAAAGTTCAGATATATACTGAACACTTTTAAGGCCAGACAGGAAAATAATAAGACGAAAGTGTGCACTTTGGAATAGTCATGGTATAGTTCCCTCTCCTATTCCGGGCTTCCTATTCTCGCAATAAACAAGTTTTCTGCTGATATTGCCGATGCGCGACACCAAGCAGTTGATAACGTTGCCCACCGGTAACTAGGAAGTGGCCCAATTCTGCGAGTGATCAAAATCTTGTAATGTCACGATTATTGATGAGTTTATACCAACTTGGACATATCATAACTTTTTCCCGCCATTTCCGGCAGGATTGCTCTTCCATACACTCCATAACATTACTTTTTCGTTATACCATGAGAATGGGAGAAACTCATTTGGCGGATAGTGGATGACATTTTCTATCACCAGGCTTACGAGTGGTAATTCGGTTTACTCCCAAAAGTTAGAAGTCCCAAAAGTCAGACAAATCAATCAGGCATGACTGTGATTACAACCTAGTCTTACCCACTGATATAATGAACCTGCCCCATACACTAACGAGTAGAAAATATATAATGATAGTCCGGGATCAAGTCCAACAAAAGCCTCTGCAAAGCCTTATTTCACAAATAAAGCTTTTGTCAGGCCCTTAGATCTCGCCACCATTGTATCTACTACTTTTGAGCCCCCGTTAATTTCCCGTCCACACGTGGCACTATTGTGCCGCTATGCCACGTTGTTTTATTAACTTCCCAGCCACACGTGGCACTACTGTGACACTATGCCACGTTGGCAGGAGGGAACATTGTGCCGTACGGTACGATCAATAATTCCTCTCTAACGAGCCCTCTCCCTGGCCCATCTCTCAAGTAGTACAAGTTCGGCTCGTCTGCTTTGATGTCCACTTTATCTATGTTGTAAGTTTTGACTGACCATATAGGATCGGTGGCTCGCTTACGACTATCACCCTCGTGCTCCCCCGGCTGGTAGAGGTACCTCACTAGGGCCCTATCGGGTATCTGTTTCTCCTTCCCACGCAATGGCGCAGCCGACTCTGCCACTATTGATTTTAGTTTGATAGCGTCGGCTGTTTTCTTGCCGGTGAGTAGTGTGGCTTCATGGTTGATGGCTGACACCACCTGAGGTAACCGCGCTACCCATTCAGTCGATCGTTTCCCCGGGTTGGCCATCTCTCTCGCATACTGATGCCCGAATAAGCTCTCAGCCAAAGTCCTATTGAATCTCTCAACTATGGCTTGGCTGCGATGGGCTCCGGCCGTGCCACGTCTGACCTTGGTGTTGTGTTTATCCAGCAG